TATTTAGAGCAGTTAATTCATCCTGAAGTTGTTGACAAAGACTTCAAAGAGGAACTATCATTTGAACTAAGCCTCACTTCTCTATACAGAGATGCACTATGTAGAAAAGAATGGGAATAACAATTATAGGCAGAAAGAACAGCATTTAAAAAGGCAAGGAGGTTTTTGAGAATATGATATATTCAGGGCATGACTTAAAGTTTCACTGGAGAGAGTACAATATATATGTTAGTGGAGCTGACATTATTTATTCACAAACATATTTGTCTAATTCATAAGCATTCTTGGCACTTCATCTATAAGCCGTTGTATAGGTCCTGGAGAACTAGAGATGAACAATATGTAGTACCTGCCATCCAGGAGAGCTCATTCTCATAGTGGAGACAGGAATATGTTTGAATTGATGTAGTGAGATAGGAGCTATAATAGAGAGATAGAATAGACAGAGAAATAGAATGAGATAGAAGCTATAATACTGTTTGTGAATGTGTTGAGTGTGTACATGCATGAGAGAGTGTGTGTGTGTATGTATGTATGTGTGCATGTGTGCTTACTCAGAACATTCAGTCATGTATGACTGAATCTGAGGATGTGAGTTACAGACCTCCCTCATTCATGTGGATGTCCTCAAGACATTGAACTCAGGACAAGGCCTTATTCCAAGAGCTGGATCAGCCTTTAGTCCCCAAGTCTTGAAAGCACACACCACAGGACCTGAAATCTTCCTGGGTGTCTGGCAGGATTGGGTGCTGGGCCATTTTCTTTCTGGGATCTTCTGGGGAGTCATGAACAACCTGCTTAAGCATAAAGGTTCTTCACTCTACCTTTATTTTCATACCATTGATATAATATGAATAACTTCAGAGGCCTGTTGAGAGGAATAAAGAAGTGAATACATTATAAAGTACTTAGAATGGCCTAGCATATGGTCAATGCTATTAGGAAATAGTACTATAATAATAATTATTATTATCTTATTGTTTCCATGGATATCATAGACTATCTGTGTTAAATGGAATCATAAGTCTGCCTTGTCTAACCTCACATCAAGTACAGGAACTTTATCCCCTAAATCTTCTAATACTTGTACTTCTCTGTAAGGCAGCCCTCTCTACTTTCTCTTCAGCTGAATGTTAAAGAGTCTCTATACTGAACTAGAATCTGCCTTCTTGTGATGCCTACCAATGTTATTCTGGGATAAGAAGTTTTTTTCCCTTTTTTTCATTGCTTTTTAAATAAATAAGTATTACTTGAGACCGCTCTATGCCATCACTAGAGTTAAAGAAGTAACACAGTTTATATTTTCAAGAAGCTTACTCTTTGAAGAAATATCCAAATATCCATTTACTTTTATTGTTCATTGTTAAGAGACAAACTAGATGATAAAAATCTTTTTATATCATTTTTTAAAGTAGAGAAAAATAATGAAGACTCAATAGTCAGGGAAGACTTTAGAGAAGAGCTGTGTTAAAGGGTAGTCACTTATACATTGATTTGTTCATTTAAAAAATATTTAAACCTTTGTTGACAATTGACTATATGCCTCATCTATCAGTAGGAGTTCACCACGTATGAAGATGGTGGGGAAGGCAGTTCAGGTAGAGGAAAGATCAAGTACAAAACATAGAGATATTGAAGGTATGGCACAAAATTGTGTTAGGGAGTTATGAGTAGTTGAATATAAACAAAGCAAAGGTTTCAAGGAAGGTGAAATGGGTGATGATGCTGGAATCACAAGGCCATCACAGGCCTTGTGGGCCAAACTGAAATGTGAGGATAGAAAGTTGCTTAAAAGTTTTTTAGCAAGAGAGTACTATAAAATCAGGTTTTTCTGGAAGTAGAAGGTAAGGCTGTAAGTTGGATGGCAAGGGGAAAAGGAGAATGGAAAGATACTGTAGGGATTATGAATACAGGATTTTGAGCCACACGTGGCCTAAGCTTAATACAGGATCTGCTGCTCACTGATCTTGTGACCTCAGAGAATCTTTTTTTTCCCTCTCGTGGCTTCAATTTTTTTTATCTGTGTAAAGGTGATAACAGCCCCAGCTCATAAGGTTATTGTGAGGATTAAATGATAATGCATATAAAACACTTAATACAATGGCTGAGACATAACAAACAAAATAAGAGAAAAATCAGAAGTATGTCCCAAATGAAGGAGACATTTTTTCCTCCCTAGTTTCAGCCCCCTTTGCTTTATTCTTTGCATTACTTGAAAGTCTTGAATTTTGCCTGCTGAGCCCTCCTCAAATAGATTTCTGTTTGTATCCTTAGGAAAGTCTAGACAATCTAAGCACTGAACAGCATCTCAGTTTCCCTGAATGATTGCCCCAGAGCCCATTAACTCTACTTTGTCTGCTAATCAGGTTAGGCATCCGGGCTCACCCAGGAGAGGAGCTGGAACAGCTGCAGGCAGTAGATGGATTCTCCTGATAGCACATAATCAAATTCAGTGGAGACAGCAGGCATTCAGAGTCAAGTTGCAGAACTTGGCTGGAAGAGGGGAAAACTGGTGACAGAATTTAAAGCATATACCCTGGTTGGATATACTGGTAAATAAAGAGCTGAAAACAGCATCATAACCTGAGACCTTATGACTATAGGAACCGCTTGTGAATGAAGACATACTCATCCAGGGCTCTAAGAGACTCAAACTCAGACCTTCAAGTCAGGGCCTGAAGTGACTATCACAGACCATTGGCTGGAAACATTAAGGCCACTTTCACAGACATTATCCCCAAATACAAATCAGGAGCCCTGAGACTCGCATATGCCGCCAGCCTGCCTCACTTTCCTGCATCTTCAATAACATCACAAATGTAGAGCATCATGTATTCTGTCCATACCCACATCCTTGCACTGGTCTGTTCTCTCTCTAATCTTGACTCTTCACTGCTTCCTTCCCTCTCCCTCTTCAGACCTCTTCATTTTCCACTTTTTCCTCTGGAACACAGCTCCATGGTTAATAATCCCACTTCGATCCTCAGTCTTTAAGTTCACTTCTTCCTTTACCCCTTGTCTTAACCAAACTAGACTTGGTTAAAAGTCTATGATGCTTAAATATTTGCTGAGTAAAACAATGAACTGAGGCCTGACTCTCTTGGAGGACATTACTTCGCCCATTGCCCTCTCAAGAAATCCTCGTTCTTCTACACTGCACGTACAGAAGGATCAGGAGGGGTCACTTTGCTCCTCACTCCTCATGCACCTTCCAAGCCATCATTTCTGTACCTCATCACTGATAACTCCAGAATTTAGGGTAGCAATCTAGTTAGAAGAAGGAGTGCCTATAAGATTTGTCTTAAAGATATATTTCCATTATAAGAAGACTGTTATTTATATATTTATTGGCAGTGGCTTTGGGAGTAGGAGGTAAATGGACTCTATTGGTGGGCCAAAGTGCACCTCTTAACAACCTTTGATACTACTGCTGACTTTTATGTGAAAGTTCTGTTTCTTTGTTGCTTAGACTGCATATCTATCATCCTGTCCTCCTCCTCAGCACTTTCAGTTTCTTACACATCTTAGACCCCATGGCCCATCATTTTAGTCACTTTTTCTAATATAATCAAATACCAGAATATTTAATTAAATTTAATATAATCAAATGTATGTACAGGCATCAATGCCATGTAAGCACTGCTGTTCCATAGGAATCCCACAGCTACACCTCCCACCCTCGCCACTTAGCTTCAGAAAGACACTAAGGTAGAAACAAGATTCTGCAGCAAACACTAGTATGTTATAATGCTCTCTGTTCTGTTAACAATTTTCTCCAGGTTGTTCTTCCTGGAGCCGGCACCCTTCTTGTTCTTCTCAATTTCCCCTCCTATACCTTCCTCCTCACATTTTTCTTCATATGCCCCTGTAGTCTATGGCTTCTCAATTGAATGCCAAGCCAATACAGGTGAGCCTTACATCCTTCATCCACTGTATCTACACTCCCCAGGAGCATCCCTTCCTTTAAGGATCTTCCAAATCAACCTTGGTGGCTAAGACTTATTAAGCAATTGATAAAAAAAAAAAAAACAAGAGTTACACAAAATGTGGAACTGAACTGGCCTGGAATTTTCGATGTAGTATCATGGAAAGGGCACAGTTTGAGGTGAGTTTTGCAGGATAAGCAGTATTTGAAGTAATAGAAAGAGATATTCACTGCAGGGAAACATTATGAAGAGGTTGGATATCATAAATCATGAGAGGGTAGAGTAACTCTTTAAAGTGGATAAACGCAAAGACATTATGGAAACTATGACTGCAACATTTTTGTTTCCTGTTTGCATCTCAGTGTTTAGCTTAGCAAAATTGCCCACACAGCATATTTTAAAGCAGTATTTCCCAAAGTGCTTCTGTGGAAAATTAGTCTCATGGAATGCTCTGTAGAAAATAACAGTAATAATTTAGAGAAATGTTGAATATTTTTCCCTTCCTTGAATATATACAATGCATATGAGTTTATTTTAAAAGTTCTTAATTAGTCTTATAATTTAAAAAACCTGACTTCCCCGGGAAAAGTAGGCCTCTCCCATTCATATCTCTACAGCTTCACAGTCTTTATTTACCTTCAAGTCACTTTTAGAATCTGTAATTATATTGTCTACTTATTTTTAATATTTTATTGACCACTTCCCCACTATTCTCCATGAGGACAGAGATCTTGCTTGTCTTGTTTATTATTGTACATCAAGGCCTGGGCATGTGATGCCACATATGTTAGGTGCTCAAAATAAGGATAAACAAATGAAGAGAATGTATCTATTTTTGTTTAACTTTGCATTTTCCAAACAGTTGAGAAAGGGTAGCACTGAATTGTGAGCAAAGAGCTGCCAGATTCAGGTCTGTTTTAGACACTATGTGGTTTGTGTTGTCATTCTCCCAGCCCCATTACCTATGGTTCTTGATGTTACAGTTTTTCTACTAGGCATTGATTTATATGTGTTACCTTTTGAAGCTTGAACAGATGTCTCATATGCCCAAATTTCTTTGTTTATATATTTTAGGCAAAGGCTGCCACCCAAAAATGTTTACTACTACCGCTGCCCAGACCATAGGAAGAACTATGTGATGTCCTTTGCCTTTTGTTTTGACCGAGAAGAAGATATTTACCAGTTTGCTTACTGCTACCCATATACATACACTCGCTTCCAACATTACCTTGACAGCCTGCAAAAGAGAAACATGGATTACTTCTTTCGGGAGCAGCTGGGCCAGAGTGTGGTAAGGCCTGTGCCAGGTTTGGGTTACTCATTTAGAAACAGGCAATCTTGGGATAGGGACTTAGCAGTGGGTTTTTATGGAATGCAAATAATGAATAGTGGTGCTTTCCAGAACTTTTTAATAATTTACTAACTACAATTAAACAATTACATAATTAGTATTAATTTAACAATTCTTTAAAGTATTGTTTTTATTGTGTGATTTATTGCGACTGTGGGGCACCACAGTAAGATATGAGAAGAAGTCACAGAGTAAGATATGAGACAGATGGTTGTTTTTCTGAATGAAGCTGATAAAGCTCTCTAGCAAAATACAAAAGTTAGGTGAATCCCAAAACCTCTGAGAGAAAAGGAGACTTTTACTAGGTGTTACAAAAGGTATGAAAGCATTTTATTACTGTGAGCTTCTGATATGAAGAACACATTTCTTAGTGAACCAAACTTGCCTGCAGTACAGGTTAGCAAGTGGTGTGCAGTTTGGTTGTGATGGCCACAGTGTGCTCTGTCTCTGTCATCCATCAGTTTCCGACTCTTTTTTCCTGCTCCAGGTTTAGTTTCCTGGGTCTAGAGATTTCAGTTTCCCATTCCATAATAGTTCCCTATTGCTGATGTGACAAACTACCACAAACATGGTAGTATAAAACAACACAAAATTATTTTCTTATACTTCTGGGAGCTAGAAATACAAAATGAGTCTCACTGGGCTAAAGTCAAGGTATCAGCAGATTTATGTTTCTTTTGGAGGCTCTAGGGGAGAATTTATTTCCCTGCCTTTTCCAGCTTCTAGAGGCTGCTTGCATTTCTTAGTTTGTAGTTCCCTTCCATCTTAAAAGCCATCAGTGGCTGGTTGAGTCTTTTTCATGCTGTATCACTTTGATATGAACTCTCTGTCACTTATAAGGATCTTTGTGCTTATAATGAATTTACCCAGATAAATCCAGGTTAATCGCCATATAGCAAGATCTTTAACTTAATTACATCTGTGAAGCCCCTTTTGTTATGTGAGGTAACATAGTCACAGGTTCTGAGGATTAGGAGTTAGACATCTTGTGTTGGGGAGTGGTGCATTATTTTGCCTACCACAAGGCATGATATAGAGAAAAGTCCAAAAAAGTTTTTTTTTTTTTTTTTTTTTTTTTTTTTTTTTTTTTTTTTTTTTTGAGATGGAGACTCACTCTGTCACCCAGGCTGGAGTGCAGTGGAGAGATCTCGGCTCACAGCTCACTGCAACCTCCGCCTCCCAGGTTCAAGCAATTCTCCTGCCTCAGCCTCCCGAGTAGCTGGGATTACAGGCATGCGCCACCACACCCAGCTAATTTTTATATTTTTAGTACGGACAGAGTTTCACCATGTTGGCCAGGCTGATCTCAAACTCCTGACCTCAGGTGATCCACCTGCCTTGGCCTCCCAAAGTGCTGGGATTACAGGTGTGAGCCACCGCACGTGGCCTCTTCCTACTTCCCTCTCTTCCTCTTGTGCCCAAACTAGGATCTGAAGTTGTTCTCCATACTGAATTCATAGGTTTTACTCTTTGTTGTCAGTAATACTTTGGTTGCTGAATAAGAATAAGCAGGTGCTAATTTGGTTTTATGTTTTACTCTTCAAAAAGTGTGGATTGTGCCCCTAAAAGAGGCATATTGGACGGGCTCTAAACGTTCTAAATGAAGATACTGGTGAAATTGGCAGAAGATATGGTACTTGGGGTTCTGATATGTGTTGGTAGTTAAATGGACTCAGTCTAGTGACTGTGAGTTTCACATAAAAGTGAGACCTATTTCTAAATAAATCCAGGATACCTCAAAAAAGAGAGCAATAAAGAGGGCCTATGTGCAACTCAGGTACCTGAGAGACAAATCTGGTCATGTTATTCTTGTAGTCTGAGATTCTGCATGCACTATGATTTTCCTAAATATCTTTTCTGTACTCCAACCTTCTTCCCAACAGTGCTTCTCATGGTATCTTCCCATTTGTATCTGTTGCCTATATATTTTGAACTGAAAATTGGTATACATGATGTATGAGTCAGCATGCTAGCAGGAAACAGACGGCAGCCTCAAATTACGACAATTTAAGGAAGGTTTAATAAATGGGCTGTTTACGAGGTGTGGGCAATGCATGCAATGACAAGGTATAGTGAAATTCTCTAGGGCTAATAACAACTGAAATGGAATAAAGGGAAGGAATGGTTAACAGAACACAATAGTAGAGAGTCATTTAGTGGGTCATGTCGGAAAGAATTAGTGACCTTCAGTTAAGGTGCACAGTTAGCCTGAGATAACTCCATAGAGAGTGCTGAGAAAAATAAATATATAGACCTCATTCTCTTACTTATATCTGATCTTCTTCTAGGAGTCCATATTGGCCAACACAACCAGAATCCAGAGAACAAAGAGCCCATTGATGTAATTCATACAGATCAGCCTCCTAGGGAAAATAAAAGGGTATAGATGGGTGGAGAGTAGATGTAGAGGAATATATAGAATACATTAAGTGCACCTGGTCCAATTAACAGTATATTACTGAACAGTGAGATTATTTGAGAAGGGATTGTCAGAAAAATTCTGAGATTAATATTTGCTAGACATATGAATTATGATTTTTTTAAGAGAATGGGAAGTTCATTCATTACTCATAACTTTTAAGGCAGGATCTGTACATTTCACTCCTGTGCCCACCCCAACTTTCTCTTAGATTTATGACAGCCAGAATGTAAGGTGCACAATGAATGTTTATTGAGTGAATGATTGAAACAATGAAAAAATGAATTAAGAACATGTCTGGAAGCAGTGTGAAAAGCTGAGAACAACAGAAAGCTAATAAGAAAAACAATAGGATCAGTTAAGCTTTCAATAATAGATATTCAAAATAACATATATAAAATAACAACAACTTAAACAAGATAGACATTTATTTCTTTTCAATGTAAAAGTCTAAATGCAGGCAATCCACAACTAATTTTGTGGCTCTACTCCTTGAAAGCCTCAAAGAGTCAGGTTCTTTCAGCTTTCTTCTCTGTCATCCTTGGAATGTGGCCCTCAACCTCATGATTCAATATGGAATTCTACCATGATATCTGTAGTCCATGCAGCAGGATGAAGGGGATGGTGGAGAAAGAAGAAGCAGTTTTGTGGCATTGTCATTTACTAGAACTCATTCACATTTAACTAAAGGAAGGACAAGAAATGAAGTCTTTGTTCTGAGTAGCCCGGTTTTAGCTAAAAATTGGTGGTCCTCTATGTGGGAGAATTGACATTGAGGGATAGCTTAAAGTCTCTGCCACAGGAAATCTGAATTCTGCTTTCAGCTCTAACATGAAACTACTTGTATTACCTTGAATTCTATGTTCCCTTTCTGGGGATAATTTTTTCACCTATAAAGTGAGAAAATTGGACTTGAATAGAAGTTTTCAGATTATCCTTGAGGAATTCCTCAGTTGGAAAAAGTAATAGTTTGAAACTCCTGTCCTACTTCAGAGCCTGTGAGAGATACTGTGGAGATATATAACAAGGTATACATACAAGTCTTCATATACTTCCAGGAGCATATTCTGTACCGGGGAAAAAGGGCATGTCCAAATAGCTCTGATACTTTAAAAAATATATAATTAAGGATATAATGAGTTGTTTAAGGAGTTAACAATAAAAATAAATGTCATGGAGAATGTCTTTAAAAGCTAAAGATTTTGTTTTTTTTTGTTTTTTTTTGTTTTTTTTGGAGACGGAGTCTCGCTTTGTCGCCCAGGTTGGAGTGCAGTGGCCGGATCTCAGCTCACTGCAAGCTCCGCCTCCCGGGTCTATGCCATTCTCCTGCCTCAGCCTCCCGAGTAGCTGGGACTACAGGCGCCCGCCACCTCGCCCGGCTAGTTTTTTGTATTTTTTAGTAGAGACGGGGTTTCACTGTGTTAGCCAGGATGGTCTCGATCTCCTGACCTCGTGATCCGCCCGTCTCGGCCTCCCAAAGTGCTGGGATTACAGGCTTGAGCCACCGCGCCCGGCAAGATTTTGTTTTAAGCCATCTTGAAAGATGGGTAGGATTACAGAGTACAGAGCTGATAATAAGGTAGCCCAGAAAGGCAGAAAAGCCAAAGCCATTGCCTGGTGGTGGTAGTTGGTTAGAAGTCTGGTTTGATTGGAATAGGGAATTTATGGGGCTACTGAAAGATAAGGCTAGACAAGAAGATTCAGGCAAAACTCTGGAAAGCCCTGATTTTCATATTGGCTACATCCTTTATTCAGATTCTACACAACACACATACTGGGTTTTTTACTTTATATAGACCATTTGATTTTTTCTCACAATAGTTTTATAGAGTAGGCAGAACTGTCCCAGTTTGGGGATCAATAATCTGAGGATAAAAAGATAAGTTTCTTCATTAAGGCCACATGACTAGTTCATATCAGGGCCAAGATTTAGACCCATGGCTTCAAACACCATGTACTGGCCCTTTGATGGACATTTTAACACCCAAAAAGATTTGTGAGACAGGGATTTACCTTATCCAAAGCAGCATTTTAAGAAAGTACATTTAATGGAAATATGGGGTGTACCTGTGCCATCTAGACTAGATCAAGGAAGCTCTGTGGGTTGGCTCAATCCTGTGTTCTGGGCCTTGATGCAGATACTAGAGATTTTAAGGCTTTCTGGCATACTTTTGCAGACAGGATGATTCTCAGTTACCAGGGAATTTGATATGGCTTGTGTCTGAAGGCATCACTGTAATTAGTTAATCCTTATTCCAATTCGGAGGGAGGGTAATTACAAGTGGGAAGGCTAAACACACCAGCATCCAGATCTTAGGGAGACCAGGCAGGAAGGAAGATTTTGAATTTTCAGTGCTAGAACTATTAATCACTATGGTCATAGCTGTCACTGGTACTAATTACATCATCCAAGAATATATTTTATTTTGTTACCAGTAACCCCTTTGAAACCTACTGAACAAAACGCCTTTGAACATGTATTTAAAACCGTGACCTGCCATTTAAGATAAGGACATCATGA